CCCATATAACCCCTTCCCTAACGATATGCCGCTGGGGCACGAGTACCACTGTAAGTGTCAGACACTCGAGACCTCTTGGCCTCTCTCTCCTCTCTATCCCGAGTCAGCATACCCTCTAACCTTCTAGCAATCCCCACTACCTGCCGGTATGCTATATCTATCTCCAATTCTCGGGCCATGCTCAATCTGATACTAGGGTTGAGACCCTCAATAAATCGATGAACTCGCTCTCGAACAGTAGCAACCAAGGCTGGTGCATTCCTAGCCAAATCACTGAATCGGACCGCATACTCTGACACGGTCATAGAACCCTAGCGCAACTGCTCAAACTCTACGCGTCAAGCATCTCTGAGACTTTGGGGAACATACTCCCTTAAGAACATATCTGAGAACTGAGTCCAAGTGAGTGAAGCTTCCTCAGCCGGACTATCCAAGTCGTATGCGCACTATCACTGATAGGCTGCTCTTCTAAGCTAGAATGTAGTGAAAGAAACCCCACTAGTCTCCGCAACACCCATAGTACGGAGGATACGGTGGCACTCCTCAAGAAACCCTGGGCATCCTCTGACGCCAAGCTACTGAAAGTAGGAGGGTGGTACTTTTTGTACCTCTCGAGCCTGAGTTGCTCTGCCTTGAAAACTGATGCCCTAACCTCAGGCTGAACTGGAGCTACCGGCTGCATCAGTATGATCTCTGGAACCTGGTCGACCTGAACCCGCTGCTTTGGGGTACCGGCGATAGGAGTCTGTGCTCCTCCCCTGGCCTGAGATGTGGCAGGAGAAAGTGGTATCAATTATGCCTGAGCGAAGGTGCTGAACATGCTTAGAAACTGGGCTAGAGACTCCTGGAGGGCTGGTGCATTGACAGGCGTCTCAGGTGCCTATCTCAAACTGGAGCTACTGGTGGCTCCTCTGGAGCAGCTCGCGCGGGTGCTCTGGCTGCACCACGTGGACGTCCTCGGCCTCTACCCCAGCCCCGACCTCTCGCAGCTCTAGCAGGGAGCGCGGATGTCTGGTCATTTGATCCAGTTGTACGTGTCCTCACCATCTATGATAATGAAATGACAAGAAAATGGCATGACAAGCTGATCCGCCAGAAAGATTTTAATGTTGGAGATCAAGTTATGTTGTACAATAGCCGATTGAGATTATTCCCATGAAAGTTTAGGTCACGCTGGACAGGACCATATACAGTAACAGAAGTGACTCCCTATGGTGCTATTGAAACACAACATATAGATGGGGGAGACAAATTCAAAGTAAACGGTCATCGTTTGAAGCCTTATATCAGTAGATTCTTCGACAAACAGGCTTCAACAATCCTTTTTGCCTAAGTTTTAAACTAAGTCGAGCTGGCGACGTTAAACTCAGAACTATGTTTTCCCCTCTCTTTAATCTTTTAAGTAATTATTAGTAGTAACATATAATATTTCCTTTTTAGTAAATATATATAATAAAATTAGTTTTTTTCCTTATAAAAAAAAGTAAAAAAATAATAATTGCATGTTTGTATTATATTATATATGTGTGTGTATTTAGTATGTATTAATATATTTTGCCATGATAAAGAAGCACTCCCATGATTTCGACAATGAAAATTTTCTCCTATCATGTAAAAGAACATTTTCTTTGCCATAATCTTGTCTTTGTTATATGAGAGAAACCTTGAGAAGCCAAGAAAAAGGAAATGTGGCCAGAATCGAAAAAATCAAGGAAGCTACTTTATCTCCTTTTACTTTTAATTTAATTTTCACGAGGACATGACATTATTAAATCTTGGGGGTAGAGGAATATGTTTGTTATATATGTGTTTCTTTTAAGTTATTTTTATTAAATATAAAACAAAATGTATATCTTACTACTGAAAAATGTGTTTTAAGTAAAATTATAAAAACAATTTTAAAAAAATAAAAATAAAATTGAGTTGCCTTATTCTTAAGGCAACTTATTTCATGTACTTCCATGGATTTCTTGTTCAGTTCTTTACCATGGTCGTAATATTTTGAACTGAACATTTTTTTGGACTTTTAGTTGTTTTAACTTGTTATGATAAATAAGTTGGCTAAACTTGATTTGACTTGAAAAGCATGACACTTAGAAAAGACGAATTTGATTAACTACCATTCACGGGTTTTATGATCACTTTTTTAAGCTCATACTTACTTATTGGTGATTGAAATCATAGTTTTTGTTGGTCCAAGTGTATTGTGCGGTTAGCTTATATTGTCTAATTCTCCTGCTTATCTGAAAATCTAGAACTTGCCTTGAATGTGGATTGAGGCAAAATTCTAGATAGATCTTTGAGTTAAGAAATGAACGTAGGACTTCTTTGTTGAGCCATAGCCTATATTGACCTACTTTAATGATTTTTATCCCTAGTTAGCCCAGTTCAGCTGAAATAAATTATCTCTTATTTTGTTGGTCGCCAAGCTTTAACCCTTAGCCTGTTTGTTGTTAATACTTGTTCTTTGTTCACCCAACCTTTTGGGCACTTTAAGAGTTGATCTGAATGTAAAAATCTAGGCGTGAGGTGTAATTGTAAAAATAATTGGTGAAAGAATAATTGTTTGAGGTTGTCGATCTTTTGAGATGTTGTCATGAGAACTAAAAAAAATAGTTGCTTCCAAATTAAAAAAAAAAAAAAAAGAGAATAGCAACAAAGAAAAGTTAGCAACTCCATAAGAAAACAAATTTGAAAGGGATGAAACAAAACAAAGGTTTATTGTTTAAATGAGATGAAAGACAATTGTACTTAAGAGATAAAATAAATGTGTAGTGCCTATAGGGAATTTGAGTCACTATTATCTATATGTATCTTACCCATCCCTAAGCCTACTTTACAACCTTGCAAAAGTCCTACATGATCTTAACTCAGAGACTCCTATATTAGTGGAGAATCACATAATAGTCAAGCTTATGATTATTTCTAGTAGCTTGAGGTACTTCTTTGTTGAGAGTGAGCGTATTTTTTATCTATGCCCTTCTTTGATACTATATCTATATATTATGTGATATATGGGCATCTCTCTTTATTCGGTGCGACACACTTGGGATTTGAAAATATTATGATTTCAGTTCTCAATAGGTGAACATGAGTACAGCAGAAAGTTATTTAAACTCGTAGATTGGTCTTAGTCAATTCTTCCTTGTCAAAACTTCTCATGATTTCACTTAAAGTGTTTAGTTACTATGTTCATTTGTTTTCTTTGCTCGAGGACGAGTAAAATTTTAAGTATGGGAGAATTTGATAAGTGCATTTTACCAGATGTTAACCACATAATTTCTCTCATAAAAACATATAAATTATCATGTTTCCTCCATATTCTTAACTTTATTCTGCAGGAATAATTATAGAATAATTGTTGTGTGCAACATGAAAAAAGAAAAATAAATATTCAAGAAAAATATAACAAAGAAGTGTAAGATCGAGTAATGATTCATTACTGCCGTGACAATGCACCAAGTCTCGATTTGCCATGATGAAACCGATGAAATCTAAACTTAGAATGACAGAATTCTCATCTTTGCAAATTCAAAATCTAGATTTTCCATGGAAATCTAGCACCAAATCGAGAATTCGAATTCTCATATCTGCAAATGCAAAATCTAGATTTGCCATAGAAATCTAAGCACCAAATCGAGAAGTCATTGTGAAATTTTCTTATATAAGAAGATGTTGCCGATCAGAAGAGGGAATCGGAGTGGAGAGAAAGCTTAGAGCTAGAAGTCTAAATTCAAATTCTTAATAAGCTTCTCTATTTTATTTCTTTCATTAGTATCGAGTTATCTTTTGTTTTAAATCATAATAGTGGTTTAGTTGTTGTTTCTAAATAAATTTCAGTGTAGGAAATTACTCTAGTTCCTGCTTTTAATTAAATAGGGAGAATTATTCTTCTTGAATATTTTTTTCTATTTTCTTATTAATGGATAAGAATATTTCAAGTGGTAGTACTAATTCCAGTATGGAGTAACCTTTCTTGTGTTGGGAGAATGACGGATCTTAATATTTCTATATAATAGTAGATATTATTCCTCAAATTCACATGATTGAGCTAAAACTTTTTATTTAACTTTTATCTGCTTTTACAGTTAGACGTTATTTGATTTATTAACATCTATCTATCTTGTACTACATATTAACTGTTTATTAATTCTGTAATCGAGAGAGGCGGAAGAAATAATATAGTTAATTGTAGTATTGATAGATGTTAATATTTATTCAGTAACATCTATCTCTTTTATGTTATAACTAATTTTACACTTATTTGTAATCGAGAGAGGCGAATAGTGTAATATTCAGTTATAACAAATAGGGTAATCGAAATGGACTTACTAACAAGAGCATGTTTTAGTTCAATCATATATTTCTGGTTCTTTAGTATTACTATTTTGAAGATTAATTTATATAACCGAGATGAGTGCAATTAATTATTCAACTTGAGTAATAATATATATTTGTAATCATGAAAGGCATTTATACATTTTTGAGAAATAGAAATTGAAGAATAATAATTCTACTATATAATAGAAATATTAAGTAAATTCAAGATCCCAACACCTTTTTATTATATTTGTGAAAAATAAAATATTTTCTATTGCTCTATTCGTGCATTTTAGTTAGTTAATTCAAAACTCAACTCTTTCTGATTTTCTCAAATAGTAATTAAAACAAGAAACATTTGTAGAATAGATAAACCAATCTCTGTGGGTGGGACATCTTTCTATACTATTATTTGATAGAGTACGAGTTAGAATTTAATATACGCTAGACACTCATCAGATAGCCATAACATAGGGTAAACTGGTGGGATCATCAGCACTCTCCATCATGAAGTTTATGACCCATGAGGATAGTTTAACCTTAAGTTTGGTCATAAGGTAGTAGACAAGAAAGGTATCTCATTGAGAGAAGGTGGAGAATGATCCAATACGAGGAAGAAGAGTAGTTGCAACAATGTGGGCCAGAACTCAGGTTTCAAAACTAACATCACTGGGACCTAACTAGTTTGGAAGGAAATCAGATGGACACTCAGCAATACAACGTTTTGCTTGATCAAAAGAAATTTCAAAATCATCAGGCCAAGTATTCTTGAAAAGCATAGGAAAATCAGAGCAATTACACTGAAAAATTGAGTCAAACATGGTACAATCAAGAACAATGTGTTTTACTAGAACTAGGGATTCTAACTTATCAGGCTTGCTAGAGTGAAGATTTGCATAAAACATTCTCACTAAAGGTTCATAGACTTTGGGAGAAGTTGGTCGATTACTCTATCGTGAGCAATGGGCTTATCTTTCAGAGAAACAAGGAAATCCCTATTTCGGGTATCCTAGAAATTGAGTTCGAACTCTAGAGAACTCGAGAGGTCTACTTTGGATTTCTTGGGGGTAAATAATTCATGGGGGGTCTTCCATAGGCATTTTTTTAAGATCTTTTTCTCCTATTTGGTGAAAGTGATCTGATAGTTCTGCCTGAGAAGAGGAAAACCCTTCTGAGTGGTCAGACCCTAGGTCTACTTATTCTGGAGGCTAAGAAGAGAGTTTTTCCTTGGAAAGAGTACTTTTTCTAGTGGAGGCAGACGGATTCTTGGAGTATTTAGACATTGAGAGATTTTGAGGAAGGGTTTGAAAGACTTTGAGGAAGGGTTTATGAGTGATAGGAACAATGAAGACAGAGAAGAATGGTTCAGGGGATTAAAAGGAAGGGATTTTGACGGTTAAGTGCAGGAAAGGAAAGGGTGTCAGGAAGGGTCATGATGATTGATTTTCCTTTCTTGAAAGTTGCGACAGATGGGAAAAGAGAGGAAAATCAGAGGCGCTAAATTAATGCATACTTGCAGATAAAATAAAATTAAAATCATTAGACACACAAGAATTAAAAACTAACACATAGGTCCTTATTTTTGGGATCAAGCGAAATAATACCAAGTAGTTCTCTTAGGGAGAAAAATCTATCTTCAAGTAAAGGCTTAGTAAAAATGTCAGCTAATTGATCAGTGGTGCCAACAAATGATAATTCTATATCTCTCTTGAGCAGATGATCTCTAATGAAAAGATATTTGATGTCTATATGCTTAGCCCTAAAATGATGCACAAGATTCTTTGAGAGACAAATAACACTAGAGTTATCACAAAATATTTGAATAGGTTTAAAATATAGTTCATAGTCACCTAGTTGAAGAGACATCCATAGTAACTATGCACAACATTGCCCATTGGCAATATATTTTGCCTTCGTTGTGGATAATGCAACTGAGCCTTGTTTCTTACTGTTCCATGAAATTAATGCCTTTTCCAGTAATTGACATGTTCTGCTAGTGCTTTTTCTGTCTTCCTTATCACCCGCAAGATCAGCATCTGAAAAACCTTCCAGCTTAAGATTGTTAGAACGCGGATACCATAATCCATAAGATATAGTTTTGATGAGGTAACAAATTATTCTCTTTACTGCAGTCAGATGCGATTCCTTATGAGCTGACTGAAACCTAGCACATTTACACACACTAAACATAACATTTGGTCGACTGGCAGTCAAGTAAAGCAAAGAACCGATCATTCCATGATATTTAGTTTTATCGACTGGATGTCATTTTTTGTCCTTGTCGAGACTTGTTGGCGGGCTCATTGGTGTACCAATTGCTTTAGCACTGCTCATACCAAACTTTTGAATTAATTCCTTTGTATATTTTGTCTAGCACACAAACGTCCCTTCTTCAGATTGTTGAATTTGTAGTCCAAGGAAAAAAGTAAGCTCTCCCATCATGCTCATTTCAAACTCACTTTGCATAAGACTAGCGAATTCCTTGCACAAAAGAGGGTTAGCACTTCCAAAGATAATATCATCAACATAAACTTGAATAATAATATTACCTCCTAATGATCTTTTGATAAATAATGTAGTATCTACTTTACCTCTTGTAAATCCATGGTCAAGTAGAAATGTAATGACCCGGCCGGTCGTTTTGAGAACGTAGCCCCGTTCCCACCATTTACTGCTTATTTTGTACTGTCTAGATGCAATGTGACTTGCCGGGGTAGTCGGTTCGGATCCAGTGAGATTTCAAAATGAAATGAGACACTTAGTCTCGAGGTTGAAAGCATAAGTTGAAATGATTGACCGGATGTTGACCTTTGAGTAAGCGACTCCAGAACGGCATTTTGCTGGTTCCGTTGGCTCCGTTAGGTGATTTTGGACTTAGAAGCATGTCTGGATTGTGGTTTGGAGGTCCGTAGTAGAATTAGGCTTGAAATGGCAAAAATCGAAATTTGTGGAAAGTTTGACCGGGAGTGAACTTTTTGATATCGGGGTCGGATTTCGATTTCAGAAGTTAGAGTAGGTCCGTAATGTCAAATGTGACTTGTGTGAAAAATGTTAGGTCCATTGGACGTATTTTGATAGGTTTCAGCGTCGTTTGTATAAATTGGAAGTTCAAAATTCATTAGGTTTGAATATATGTGTGATTCATATTTTTGACGTTGTTTGAGGTGATTTGAGGGCTCGACTAAGTTCATATGGTGTTTTGGGACTCGTTGGTATGTTTGGTTGAGGTCCCGGGGGCCTCGGGTTGGTTTCGGATGGTTAACGGATCAAAAATCGGGCTTAGTGCATTGCTGAAGCTGGAGCTCTTCTGGTGTGATCGCACCTGCGAGGGGTTGGTCGTAGGTGCGATGCCATAAATGTGGATGGCTTTATGCAGAAGCGAAGCTGGGCTAACCTGGGCAAAGTATAGGTGCGAGCGAGGCTCCGCAGATGCGGAGTTGAGGGAGAGGCCTATTTCCACAGAAGCGGATGGAAGGCCGCAGAAGCGGCTCCGCAGGTGCGAAACCTGGAGTGCAGATGTAGCCCTGGGGGACTTAAGTGAGTTTCGCAGAAGCTGAGGGCATACCGCAGAAGCGGTTCCACAGGTGCGGATATTGGGTCGCAGGTGCGAAAAGCCTGGGCAGATTATTAAAACAAGGGTTCGCGATTTTGGCTTCATTTCAAACATTTCAAGCACGATTTAGGCGATTGTTGATAGAGTTTTCGAGGGGATTCTTGAGGTATGTCCCTTGTGCTCATTATTGATTAATAATATTGCTTCCCCATTGATATTTCCACCTAGTTGGTGTGTATTTAAGGTGTAAATTGAGAGTTTGAGGCTAGGATTTGGAGGGTTTGATTTAGGGATTTAGGTGACGATTTGGTGTCGGATTTTAATAAATTTGGTATGGATAGACTCGTGGTTGAGTGGGCTTTTGGGTTTTGTAACTTTTATCGAATTTTGAGACGTGAGCTCGGAGGCTGGCTTTTGAGCCGATTTTTGATTTTGATTAATAAATTAGTATTTTGTTATGGAGTTGATTCCTTTAGCACTTATTGATTTTATCGCATTGTTTGTGGCTAGATTCGAGGCATTCAGAGGCCATTTTGCAAGGCAAGGGGTGTTGGAGAAGAGATTTGCTCGTATTGAGGTAAGTAACAGTTCTAAATTTGATTTTGAGGGTACGAAACCCCGTATTACGTACTAAATTTGGTTTTGAAGTGACGCACATACTAGGTGATGGGTGTGTAGGCGTGCACCGTAAGGATTGTGACTTGGTCAAATTATGTAGAACCGTGTAGTTGAATAATCCGTTGTTATCTGTACATTCTCTATGTAATAGAGAAATTGAACCACAAATCATGTTTAGACTATGTGTTGGCACTGTAGGGACCCACAGAGGTTGTGTGCATGTTAAATTATCTGCTAAATTGTTGTTTTATACTCAGTCATAGTTTTACTTATTTATTTTATCTCAGACTCTATTGTTCCTTGTTGATACATTATATCATTCTGTTGGGGCTGACTTTTATGATTTCTGAAAGCCCGTGAGACTGGAGAGATTTATGACTGAGTGAGGCCGAGGGCCTAATTATGAGATATTGATACTATAGCACATGAGTTATCCATGAAGCACGTGAGTTGTCCGTACGGATCCATATATTATTTTAGCACGTGAGTTGTCCGTGCAGATCCAGATATTGTACTAGCACTTGAGTTGTTCGTGCAGCACGTGAGTTGTCCGTGCGAATTATAGCTCTTGGGCTGAAGGAGCCCCTCTGAAGTCTGCACACACACCCAGTGAGCGCAAGTACCTACTGAGTGTGAGTGCCGAGTACCGACTGCCGAGTGTAAAGTGATTATGAGGTTGGAGTGAATGGGAGGACTGAGTGACTGTTGCTCTGAGATGATGCATTAATTTCATTATTATTGCACTTCGGCTATAATATATCACTGTTTTGGAAACTTCTGAGAGATATTATGTTCTGTTTCTGTTGAACTTGATTTGAAATTACTGTTTGGGCCTTAATTGTTGAACTTGCAAGCATGCCTACTTTCTTGTGTTAGAAATTACTGTAATTGGACTTAGCTGTGAAGCTCGTCACTACTTTTAGTTCTTTATTTAGTATTGCTACTTGATGAGTTGGTGGTACTCATACTATACTCTGCACTTCGTGTGAAGATCCAGGTGTTCCCGGACACAGTGGGTGTTAATTTCTTCGTGCAGTTGATTTTTCGGAGATTTCGAGGTAGCTGTCGGTGTTTCACAGACCTTGTCTCTCCTTCTCTATCTTCTTGTTTATTGTATTTTGTCTCAAACTATTATAGACTGTGTTTTTCCAGACTTGGGATGTATAGATGCTCATGCACTCTGTGACACCCCGATAGTTGGGAATTTCGTGCTGAGTTTTGGGTTTCTAACCCTGTTTATGGGAATTTTTGTTATTTGAAATTCTTTAATTCATTTTCTGTTAAAAGTGTTGGGATTATTTCACAATGTCGACTTGCCTAGTACCACGATAGGCTTCATCATGACATGTTAGGATTTTGGGCCGTGACAAGTTGGTATCAGAGCCTAGGTTACATAGGTCTCATGAGCCATGAGCAGGTTTAGTAAAATCTTGCGAATCGATACGGAGACGTCTGTACTTATCTTCGAGAGGATGTCGAACCCATAGGAAATGTCACATTCTTGTATTCTTGTCGTGCGGATTTGTTGTTTCCGGTAAATAAAATTCTATATTTTATTCTCTCACAGATGGTGAGGACACGTGCTACCAGACAGGATGGATAGCCACCAGTACCACCAGCTAGGGCCACAAGAGGCCGAGGTTGCGGTTGGGACTACGGTAGGGGTAGAGGTGCAGCTCGTACAGTAGCTAGAGCAGCACCTGCATATCCACCAGTTGCTCCAGCTCAGGAGCAGGTTCCAGATGTAGTTGAGCCAGTGGGGCCAGCTCAGGCACCAGCTATGCCCATTGTGAATCCAGGCCTTCAAGAGGCGTTGGCCAATATTTTGATAGTTTGCACTGGTCTTGCTCGGGTGGTTTCGGCTCAGGCCGAACCAACCACTTCTTAGGCTGGGGGAGGTACTCATACCCCTGCTGCCCATAGTCTAGAGCAAGCGATGTAGGGGCTTCAGACACTGGAGGTACTACCCGCCCAGCTGGTTGTAGCTGCTCAGGCCCCAATAATCATAGTTATGGCTGATGATGAGCAGAGGAGACTTGAGAGATTTGGGAGGCTTCGGCCTCGATCATTTAGCGGTGTTGAGTCAAAGGATTCCCAGGGCTTCTTGGATATGTGCCAACAGATGCTTCGTACAGTAGGTATTGTGGAGACTAGTTGAGTCTTGTTCACGACTTTTCAGTTTTCTGGTGTTGCCTTCAGATGGTGGGAGGCTTATGAGAGGCGTAGGCCGGTTGGTGCAGCACCACTTATATGGCAGGAGTTCTCCGTTCTCTTTTTGGAGGAATTCATGCCACAGTCTCGCAGGGAGGAGCTGCGTAGAAAGTTTGAGAAGCTTCGGCAGGATGGCATGTCTGTGACCCAATACGAGATGAGGTTTTCTGAGTTAGCTCGTCGCGTAGTTTGGTTGGTTCCCACTGATCGGGAGAGGATCATGAGGTTCATTGATGGACTCACGTATCAGTTGCGGTTGCTTATGACTAGGGAGAGGATATCTGGTGCCACTTTTGACAAGGTGGTTGACATTGCTCGACAGATAGAGATGGTCCGTAGCCAGGAGTGTGGTGAGAGGGAGTCCAAGAGGTCTCGGGGTTCAGGCGGTTTTGGTGGTGTGGCTTCTAGGGGGGGCAATCCTACCACAGCAAGGGTCGTCCTTATAGGCCCACTCAGATGACTCGTCCAGCTCATCGTGGCACATCAGCTAGCCACGGTTCTTACAGTGCTCACTCAGGCCAGTCTTCATTCAGTGCACTACCAGCGTAGATTTCTCACCATGCCTCATCCGCTCAGGTTTCTACAGGTAGTTCCATGGGTTATCAGGAGCAGCAGTTTCATTAGAGGAGGGGTTATTTCGAGTGCGGAGACTTTGGTCATATAAAGAGAGATTTCCCTAGGTTGTTGAGTGGGGCTCCACAATAGAGTTCTCGGCCGATGGCACCAGCACCAGCAGTTACACCACCCACTCAGCCAGCTCTGGGTGGGGCTCAGTCTACTAGGGGTCGCCCTAGAGGGGGAGGCCGATCAGGTGGCGGTCAAGCCCAATTCTATACTATCCTCACCAGACTAG